TAGAGAGTCAGTTGCGGAAGTACAGCGTCGACTATTGACTTCTGAGCACAATAATAATAGTGTTCTAGGTGCACTCTAACAAAAATGTGTTGCATTATGTGTGGATGTGTCAAGAACAACTCCCTATGTTGCAAAAAAATTAATGTGTCGAAGAGTCTAGCTGAAAAAATGTGTTGAAAAAATTTTAGGACACATTTTTCAGCTAGACTCTACGACACATTAGTTTTTTTTGCGACATACGGAGTTGTTCTTGACACATCCACACATAATACGACACAATTTTTTTTAGAGCGTGAAGGAAGAACTGCGACGATAAAGACTTGCCTTTCCCAAGTTTTTCAAAACAAGAATCGAATGTAAATTAATTGTCACTTTACATAATTCAAAACTTGTCTAACGTAAAATAAGAAGTTTATTTACTTGTTACCTGAGTTTGACCAAGTAAATGCGCACGATGAACAGCATAATTACAAGTATTTATGACGTCGAGAAAATATTAGACTAACGGATGGTGCAAAAGTTTTTCTCCTTTTTTTGCTTGCTTCATATCTCAGTCCAGAAGCATCGTACACGCTTGCCTCTTCCGTCAGAAAGAGCAGGTTTTGAACCATCGCTGACACCTTGTCCGAACTTCCTGGACAAATTTCGGTTTTTTGAGTTTTTTCCGGAATTTGTGTAATATCTGAGATTTGTCCGGATTTTGAGAATTTTCTGCCTTTCCCTATAATCATGAAGATATAAGTTTTTTTTCTATAGTTTGTGGAGGTTCTCTTTCTAATATTATAGGCCAGCTCAAGTACCAGTTACTTTTCTTTCGTTTCTGTTTATTTATTTCTCTCTCTCTTTTACTGTCAACAGAACTCATTGTAAATTTGTTGAATTGACAGAGGAATTGAAAATTTGTTTAAACTCATCGTTATCATGCACTCAGATTTATAATTATTTTTTATCAAAGTCAGAACTGTTGAAATTCATTCATTCGGATCAAAAATATACATTCGAAAAACAGCGTGTCGATTAAAATATTTCTGTTTGTATTTTATTGAATAAAATCATATAGAGCTGGAGAAGAAACCTTTTTTTGGCACTCTGCACAGTAGAAAAAGGTTAAATAAGGCAGTTACATAAATGGGTTTCCGTTTTTTTTCCGGATTTTTCCAGATTTCTGTCTTACACAGATGGCAGCTCTGTTCTGGACTACAAAATATGTAACAACGGTAGCACTGACTTGTTGGAAAAAGAGATATTGTTTTTGCAAGACAAATTCAATAACCCATTTGTAAAATTACCTTTAAAAATGAGGATTGTATATTTTGTTTAATCAGATTTTTTTAATGTTGTTTAGAATTTTCTGGATACATTATATATCAATATATTCGATCTGTTCTTGCTTGCGACACCATAATGTGCTATATATTGCATAATTAGGGTGATCAGTGGGAAACTAAAAAAAGCCAACTCTGTGCAAGAATGAACTCAGTAATACTTCATTACTTAAGGCTGATATTTCCTATCCGCAACAACGTCATCCGATAGTACATTCAAAGCGCTTTCATTTGATGTATGAGATGTCAGCTCATATCAACAACTTCACAGAAATAAACTGTTCTTATTTAGAGTCACCAGAACGTGAGACAATTTCAAACTAGTGTTATCACTTCTTCACTCGAAGTTTTTTACTTCAAAAATTATCACAAAGTTTTAATTTTAATCAGAGGCGGCAGAACCACTAGGCTGGGTAAAGCTTAAGCCTTACCCGGATTTGGCTCTGTTAGACTGAATCTTACACCATTCTGATGTAGAATTTTGAATTTAGCACTATGTTATTTGGATAAAACTTGGCTACATTAGCAGAAAGGCCTTATTTATCTGAAGTAGAGCCCTGCAGGTCACGCATAACCTGTCCTGTCCTGGCAGGTTAGGACAGGTTTAGGTTACGACCTCACAGTTTAGAATAGGTTATAGGTTACGAAAATTTTTGCAGGACAGGTTATGGTTTATACTACCCGTATCCTGTTTTCAACCTGTAAAAAAAATATTAAGCGCCATCTGTAAAGGGGAAGAAATAAGAACTCGAAAAATAGTTTTTATTAGTCAAAAAAAATATTTACTGCATCATGAAGAGTATTGGAAAAACGAAGACAGTAGTTGAATCCAGATGTTGTTGACGATATATTATTGATCAGAAAATTCAGAGATGTGTGATCTTTTGTTATTGTTTTTTGTCGCATAAATAAAGTAAATGAAAAGAATTCGCTTTGTTAGGAAAAATTTTCGAACTTGGACACTCATTTTTTGCAGTAATTTTTTCGCAAGACAGGACAGAATAGGTTGCGCAAAAAAATATTGCAGGTTAGGAGAGGTTACAGATTACGAGGTAAAAGGTTACGAAAGGTTATAGGTTGTTAAGCTTTTACAGCAGGTTATAGGTGATGAAAAAGTTGTAACCTGCAGGGCTCTAATCGGAAGAAAAGGCCAAAGGCGAATTAAACTGTGCTTTTTTTTAGTGATCTTAAACGCAGAGGCTAACATGAGATATGTGCGATGAGGACAGACGACTAGATCGGGATAAAATGCTAACTTTTGGCCTCAGGAACGCCAAGAAACCTCGAAATGTAAATTGTCTTTTGTTCAAAATACCGAAGTAGTCCTTTAATTGTATAGATATGCCACATTTTTCAAACAAATATGCTTTGCTTTGAGTCTAGAGCAAACTTTTTCCCTTTTTTGGCCCTTTTGCCTGGAAAGCCACTTTTTGGAGTCTGAGTAAAAACATTGAGCTCGAGCTGACATTTTATTTCAGCAAATTGAGCTCAATAAAATATTTTCTTCTCTGCTTGTTTGTTCTTGCTACGAAAACTTTTACGGAAAATTGCGCCTGCTCGAAAAACCATTCAAATTCGCTGCTGCCTTACCGTGAACCTTGCGCCCTTTGGGAACGTTCCGCCGTCTCTAATTTTAATTGCTCCTCTTTGCCGTTATGCACACTGCAAAACTGTATTGAAGTGAATATATTATAACTTACTTTCTGATGAAAGAGAAAAATATTTCGCTTGTACAAATGGGTTATTGAGTGGTTTGTCTTGTAAAAATAATGCCTCTTTTTCCAACAAGTCAGTGCTTACTGTTGTTATATATTTTGTAGTCCAAAATCTGCTCTTTCTAACGAAAGAAACAGTAAGTGTGTACAATGCTTCTGGACTGAGATATGGAGCAAGCAAAAAAAAGGAAAAAACTTTTGCATCACCTGTTAAAACGCTGTACCCCTATAATGGTACAGCGTTCAACCTACAATGGTTAAAATGTGACTGAAAAACAAGATGACAGGCAGGCAGACGTATGTTGGCTGGTCTTGAAAAATTCAACTAAGAATCTTATAAGAAAAGAAAATGTAAATTTTTATTAAATCTGCTTCTTCAGATCAAGAACAACTTCTGTTTCAAGGCAGAAAAACGGTAGAATCTGATTCTGAAAAGTACCGGCATCTGAACATCGATTAGTGTGGTCCATTTTAGTCTTGTTTCTTTTATATGTATATATATATATATATATAAGAGAAGTATAATCATTCTGACGCCAGCACAGATGCATTTAGATTCGATTATCTCTCAACAAGAATCTGGTGAGGTTAAACATGGTTGTCACATGTCCTCTGCACGAACGACAGTCATTCATGTAAAGATTTGTTCCTCGTAAAAATCCAGCTCCAGTAGATGTATGATAATCGATCAGCGTATTAGAAATTTGTTCAGGGCCCTGATTCTGACACGCTTCGCCGCCTTATATTGTAAGGTATGTATTATATATTACGATAATCAATCAAACAAATTGGTAATTTTATCTTTAGAAAACTTCGATATTTTACACAGGAATCTTTTTGATCCATGATGATATAAATATAACTCACCGTATAACTAGCTAGTGTGAAAAGTAGGGAAAAAAGGTTTAGAGTCAATAAAAAATGGAAATAAGAATCTTGCCTGATCAATTAAGACAAGTTTAAAGATTGTTTGTCTGAAATAGCAATAGACAAGAAGCTTACAAGAACATCAACAAGAAAATGGACCAGGACCACCAGTCGCTAGTGTAAAAAATCTTATAGAAAGAAATGTGATAAAAACAAAATTACGATATAACTTGTATTACTTTGTGTTTTTGACTAAAAACATTCATTGTGTGTATTCAAAGTCAGCATGTTTAATGTTGTTGTCGTTTGTCATAAAAGCGTATTTTGATCGATGTTAAGCTAAAACGCATTTGATGTACATTATATAAGTCATATCTTACTAACAAATACATAGGCGATGAAGCGTTTTGAAAATAGGTAAAGTAAAAATAGGTGAGATTTCTCCTCTCTCCATCAAATCTTTGCTGAAGTGTTCAAGTAGAATGAAAGCCTATCATTTTAAACACGAATAATATAACGGGTAAATCAATAAAAGCCGAAATAACCTGAAAAGCACCGAAAACTGTATTTTTTGCTTGTTCATTATTCGATACAAAACTAGAACAAATACTGTTCAAGTCATGAGAACCCAATCGCCCTTTGTATATATGAGTCAAACCACGTGTTTTAACGAAATGTTAAACCCAGAAATAGATGAGGCTGAGTTACTCGTGGCGAAAATCAGGTGAGGCTTGCGTCCCTTGAATCTTTCGAGTCCACCGCCTATGTTCATCTCTGGTACGGCAAAAAATGAAATTTTAACTGAAAACAAATATGCAACAGCTGTAGATAAACTATCTGAATTCAGCTTATTCACTAGCTATAGAAGACAACTAGAATGTCTTTGATTTTTATAAGATTTAATTTACAATTTAGCAAACGTGAGTATATGAAATACAGAAAAAGACATCTGAACTGGTGCTTTAGTTCTGATTTGGATGAAGTGTTTTTTTTCTGTAGGATTTTCTGTCTTTTGATTTTAAATGCTTACAAAATTTGTGCCAAGAGCATTGAAAAGTGATTTATTTCTAGAACAGTTTAACATCATTCTAACATGGCTGGTACTGAAGCATCAACATCATCATTAAATGATACAGTACTCACCCTCCAACGTCTGGCCAATTTATTACGCATACATAGTATTGAATCAACGCAAGAAGCGGATTCTGGGTAAGTGTCAGCTATCTCTTCGAACATTTCAATATTTATAGTCTATAACTACTGTTTTATTAACATATATTTTCTCTATTATTTTTTTTATTTTCAGACATCCAACAAGTTGTAGTTCAATGGCTGAAATAATAACAGTTTTGTTTTTTAATATTATGCGTTATGATGTTAAAGAGCCTCGTCATCCAGCAAGTGATCGATTTGTTCTATCAAAGGTTAGTGCTTTGATAGATGAAAACCTTATTTTGATAGTTTATATCTTCTACTCAATGCATTCAAACTATTTAACTTTTTAATTTAGGGTCATTGTGCGCCAATACTTTATGCAGCATGGGCCGAAGCTGGCGCATTCCCAACATCTGAATTGAAAAATTTGAGAAAAATTGACTCTGATTTAGAAGGTCATCCAACTCCGGTATATAGTATATTACGGCAAAATATTACGATATTACGTCTGATTATTATTTTATTTTTTTAGCGTCTTAATTTTATTGATGTTGCGACTGGTTCACTCGGACAAGGAATCGGTTTTGCAGCCGGTATGGCATATGCTGGAAAACATTTGGATAAATCAGATTATCGTGTTTATTGTGTACTTGGTGATGGCGAATGCGCTGAGGGTTCAGTCTGGGAAGCATTTTCATTTGCCAGTTTTTATAAATTAGATAATTTGTGTGCTATTATCGATATCAATCGTCTTGGTCAAAGTGATCCAACACAGGTATTTTTTAAATTTTCTTGCAATAAGTTTTCTGATTGCTTGATTTTTTAGTTACAACACGATACGGATACGTACAGAAAACGAGTCGATGCTTTTGGGTAAGAGAACCAACATGATATCATTGATAAATATGCTAATTCATGTTCTTTTTTTCTAGATGGTTTCCTATTATTATTAATGGACAAGATGTTGGTCAGTTATTAGGTGCATTTAACCAAGCTCAAGAAATGAAAGATAGACCAACGTGCATATTAGCTAAAACACTTAAAGGAAGTGGATTGAAAGGTTTGTGTACTCTATAATTCTAATTTCCAATCATTATTTGTAATTGTAAAATGTTACTTTTTAAAGGTATCGAAAATGAGTTAAATTGGCATGGAAAACCTCTTGGTGATAAAGGCAAAGACATTGTCGAAAGTTTAAAGAAGTTAGTTAATGGTGATATAAAACATCCCCAAATAGCCAAAATTACAGCTAAAGTTACAAATATCAAGAAAGATAGTCCGATCAAATTATCATCGCCACCAAATTATGATGGGAAGAAAGAAGTAAGTGAAAAAGAGATTCTAAACATATAATTCGAATTGCTCGTCTTTTCTAGATTGCAACACGATTGGCTCATGGCACAGCATTAGAAAAATTAGGTAAAAGTTGTCAAAATATTGTTGCACTCGATGGTGACACAAAAAATTCAACATATTCATTAAAATTTCACGTGAGTTTTCTTTTTGTATTCAACTAACGATCATCAGTTCAATTTTTTATTTTTCAAAGGATTCGTTTCCGGATCGCTTTGTTGAATGTTATATTGCTGAACAAAATATGGTAGCCGTTGCTATTGGTATTGCTACACGTGATCGTTACATCTGTTTTGTTCACACATTTGCTGCATTTCTGACACGTGCATTTGATCAAATACGAATGGGTGCGATATCGTTTACAAAAGTGAAATTTGTTGGTTCACATGCGGGTATATCGATTGGAGAAGATGGTCCATCACAAATGGCTCTAGAAGATTTTGCCATGTTTCGTAGTGTACCACAATGTGTTTGCTTTTATCCATCTGATGCTGTGTCAGCTGAGCGAGCAACCGAATTAGCAGCAAATTATGAGGGCATGGTTTATATTCGAACAAGTCGACCAAATACACCAATTTTATATAAAAATGATGAACTGTTTCACATTGGAAAAGCCAAAGTAAGCTTATAAAATAAGTATTTGTATACTGTATGATAATAGTGACACTCTTTTCTGGGTGTAGATTGTTATTGAAAGTTCACAAGATGTATGCACAATCGTTGGTGCTGGCGTGACATTACACGAAGCTGTTAAAGCATCAGAAAAATTAAAACAAATTGGGAAAGCAGTTCGTGTTATCGATTTGTTTAGTGTTAAACCTATTGATCATGAGACGTTACTGTCATCGGTCAAAGCGACTAATAACAAATTAATTGTTGTTGAAGATCATTATCCAGAAGGTAAGAATATGAAAACATATAGATAAAAAGAGAAAGAGCGACAGGTATATTACTAGCTCGTACAAATCATTTTCTTAATAACCAGATACTGATAAGAAAAAAGTCATACTTTAACGTTCGATAGTTCAATGCATATGTTTCAATCTTTTACATCTACGTTTCTTTGTTACAGGTGGCTTAGGTGAAGCTGTGATGAGTGCATTATGTGATGAAGTTGGTGTTAAAATTGTTCATTTAGCTGTTCGCGAAGTAGCGCGCAGTGGAAAATCAGCTGAATTATTAAGTAAATATGGTATTGATTGTGATCATATAGTCCAAGCTGTACTAAAGTTAGTCTAACTAAGTTATTATATGGTAAAATACTTACATTCTGTTATCATGACTACAGTTATCAAGCGCTTTCATTTTATCTCTTTTTATTTCTTATTTCTATTTATTGTATTAAACATCAAAACAGTGAAACTGACACTCTGTAATATTCTAGTATGTATCTCTCTTTTAATAACAAATACATTCTTTTTAAAAAGGCATAACTGCTGTCATGTTCACTTCAATATATTAGGGTTCACGGTAAAGGAAAATATCTCTTTTGTTTGATTTTACTTTTATCTGTTATTCTTTAAAAATATTTGGTCAGCACTGAAGAATAAAATTCAGTGCTTTATTCATTCAGATTGCAAAGATAAACGCAGTTTGAAGTAAAGACAAATTGATACTTATTTTATCAATGGATGCCAGTCACTCAGTCATGAATTACAGAGTGCATGTTTACAATGTCTCAGGGAAACAAAAGACGGGTAAAAAGTAGGTCCATTTTTAGCCTCGGACGGACGTCCATGGTAAGACACGATGTGGCCGAAGTTTTACCTTCGGACGCTCCGGACTAGTCGGGATGCTCATATTGAAAGACAGTATAGAACTCTACGTCCGGACGTCCGTTCTCACATTTGATGTTCGTTTTAATTATTCAGTATTGACGCTATTGGACTCCTCGAAAAATCATGTCCAGTATAAGCACCCGGATGATCCCATCCGGACGCCTATCATGAGATAGGAAAAAAAACAGAAGTCATGCCTGCACAGGATTCGACCCTGCATATCTTATACAATTAATACAATTCCCATATAAGAGCATCAGTGTGATAGATTTATTATAATTTATCCATTACACATCATTTATACGAACAATAAGTGATATTACTGGTTGAAAAATTAACTCTACTGGAATTTTCAGTTGAAATACCTATTTCAGAACAACTGCATTCACTAACGAGGCAAGGTCTTTGGATGCCCAACTCCGTTCTAAATGATATTATGTCAGTTAATAGAGGAAAGCGAGCTGATAAAAACTCCCTAATTTCGAAAAAGTGGATTTGGGCACCCTGAATGTGTCTGATAAAGAATTGAATTCTGCATAAAAGAAGATTAAATAAACCTTAAGCCTTCGATCGTCCTTCGTCAGAAAAAAAATGAATAAGCACATAATTTACCCTGTATCTCCCATTTATGTCATTTCTTGACTCAAAAACTTTCTTGACTTTGAAACTCCGTCTAGAATTGGTAATTCAAAAACCGTTGGGCCAGACGCCAGAAAGTTGGGGCCTAGCTTTCGATCGCATTGGACCATGGAAGGGGATCGATACACAGTGCGCATTTTTCCATAGAGCAGGTGGACATCTAGTTTTATGAGTTAAAAAATGATTATTTTTGCACAATATTGTCTTATTGTATGCCAAATATTAATAGAAGTAAGAAAAGTCAAGTTCGAAAAAAAATTTATTCCAACGAAAATTATCAGAGTTTAGGAAAATTTAGGAAATCGATCGTACTGGTAACGTAGCGAGGAAAAGGGCTTTTCTGGGAAAAACTACGGTTTTTTATCTACACTTTTTAATATAAAGCAAACATTTTTTCAGCTTCAGATAGCTGGCAATATCAATGCTCCGGAAAATATCAAAACGACATGTTTCGATCGCTTTGTTCGAAATGTGCAATCAAAATTTTCAAAAACGCTCTAATTAGTACATGGATTTTCTTTACCAATTTTCTGAACAAGAAAAGCTTTTAGAAAAAAAATTTTTTCATCGTTAAGTCAAAATAATATATGACGGTATTCAAATCTCAAAAAAGCACACTGACGATTTTGAACCAAACTTCTCCCTATATGCCACTGTGCGATAAATCGAAACTGTTTCATTTAGGAACCTCAAACGATTAGCAGAGGTATTTGTACAGCTTTAAATAAAACGCGGTGATAGTTTCTCAATAGCTTCATGATGGCACCTGAAGCTGCTGATGTTTTAAAATGGAAATTATCTATTTGTGATCATTATGAATAATCGTTGTTGCGAAAGAGAACAGTGTCGACAGAAAAGAACAGAGGTGAAAAGAAAAAACTGTCACATATTTACGCAGGTCATTCCTACATGAGCATATTTCTATGACACCAATTATTATCACTCGAATGAGAAAACAGAAGATGCAATGCGAGTGACATGAGTAAGAAAACATATATATGCTTATCTTTTCTTTAAAAAAAGAATAAATAGTAAGCATATTGTTCACCCCTAAATATTTTCGAGAAAAACCAGCATGATTAGAATCAGTGAGCAAAACTGCTCGCTTTCGTTCGTTTCCTGGAACAAATTAAAAAGTTCAAAAAACCATTACTTTTGTCCAAGGTCGACAAAGATATCAGCAAAAATTATCTGTTAGCGTTTTCAAAATAGTATATGAAGATAAGCAATATAGATAAGCATATGTTTTCTCACTCATATCGCTCGCATTACATCTAGAGGAGTTAGCTGCTCTGCTGCCGTCGGCGACACTTTTAAAACATATTTTTAAATATAGATAAAGAAGACTGATCCTAAAGGGGAATTTTATCTAAAATTTGAAGATGGGAATTAAAGGTGGAATCGTGGATAACACAACCGTATTCGAGCATATCCTAGTCGACTCTTCCCCTCAAAGTCCCTGGGATCCCTAAAGATGTGTACTCCCCGTGAGTCCCTAGAGAGTCACCCTCATACTCCCCAGCGAGTCCCCAACATGCGCAGTCCCTAGGGAGTCCCTACCAACTCCCCATTCACCGTTTGTTTTGCAGATAGGCAATATATAAATATAAGATAGTTCTATATGATAAAATTTTACGAATTTTCGAATAAATAAGACAGTGATGTGTTCGTTAGACAAAATAGAACGAAGTGACCAAAAGTATAATTAGTTAGACTATATATATAGATAAATGTGGTAGTGCTGACGAAGAAAATGATAACTACTGTCTGTAAAAAAAAGGTGGTACGTGACTGTTTTTTTAATATCTCAACAAAGAAAAGTGCTAGAGCGATGCGATTTTCACCATTTTGTAGAAAAGACTTTATGACAAGTTGACAATTCTTAGTTCATGTGGAAAACGGACTAATTTGAAAACTTCATTGAAAAAAATAAATAAAAAAATAGATTCCCAAATAAAAAACAAACATTGCCATTAGATTCAGTCTGATGGATTACCTATAGTTCAAGTATTTTTGAGATTACTATGTTGCAGAGAACTAGAAAAGGGTGGTCCCACCAAAACTCATGCGATTCCTAAACCATGGCATACAGCGCTCTCAAATCTTCGCAGTTCGCCAGAGGACTACCTAGACTAAATTGCCCAGCAGAAAAACATAGATGTCGCTAGAAAAAACTGCGAAGCGATGATCTAATCTTTTAAAAAGCTATCAGCTTCACCGCCTGAGAAAATTTTAGTTTTGGGTTTCTATATACTAAATAAAAACGTAAAGTCTTTTCTACAAAATGGTGAAAATCGCATCGCTGTACAGGTAGTCGTTGCACGTTTAGCACATTATATGCGCCTTCTTTTTCGTCAGCACTTTTTGTTAGCTTAACCAAAGCAATTATTCGACGTATTTTCAACAATGTGCACCAACAGAATGCGTTTATTCATTCAATCAAAATCCGAATACGATTTATATCATTACGATGATCATTGGACTTTATTGATTCTGTTCGGATATCGCGTATGCACGTTTCTAGGTGTTTTATCCGCTCCAAAGAAGGCGCAAATAATGTGCTAAACATACAACGACTACTGTCTGTAAAAAAAAGCTGGCACGCGACTGTTTTTTTAATGTCTTAACAAAGAAATAAAAGATAATTCAGCAAAGATTTGATGGAGAGAGGAGAAATCTCACCTATTTTTACTTTACCTATTTTCAAAACGCTTCATCGCCTATGTATTTGTTAGT